CTGCCTGCCTGCCTGCCTGCCTGCCTATCTATCTATCTATCTATCTAATTCTATCTACTTTATCATTCCTATCTATCTGTCTATTCTATTCTATTCTATTCTATTCTATTCTATTCTATTCTATTCTATTCTATTCTCTTATTTCTATTCAATTCCTTACTCTATTCTATTCTCTTGCTGGGTGGGCGTGGCCTAGTTGGCCTCCTGCACCGTGCAGAGGGGATGTTTCTGCCCTCCCCTTGCTCTGGCGGGTGAAATCGGCTTTCCCGGACTGCGGAGGCTCCTTGGAAGCCGGAAACCGGCCCATTGCCGGCCTTCCCAAACTCCCAGGGGGCCTGTTTTTTCGCCCTCCCCGAGCCTCCGCGCACACCCTGCACTTTTACCTGCATCTAAAATGGGCCCCGTGGGGGCTCCTGGGAGGGGCGGGGTGGGCGGGGCCAGCCAGGAGTGGAATTTGGGAGGGGGGATGCCCTGAACTGCATGGCTAGGGGGGCCTCTCCCCGAACCCCTGCGAACCTTCCCAGCGGCCCACCCCTGCCCGCCAGCACCCGTGAAAGCCCCCTCCCCGAGGCCGAGCCAGGCACCCAGACTCCCGAAACGTCCTCCTCCCCCCCCCCTTTTTAAAAATGTTTCCCCTTCTCTCTGGCAGCTGCAATTGCAATTCCTCCATGCCGCGCCCGGTGAAGGTGGTCTCCGTCGGGGGCCAAAGCTACCTGAGTGCCATTTTGAGGTTTTTCGTGAAGCAGCTGGCCAACAAGACGTCGGACTGGCTCAACCACATGAAATTCCTCATCATTCCTCTAGGTCAGTGGTCGCCAACCAGTGGGCCGGGGGGGACCACTGGTGGTCCGCGAGAAAACTTTGGTGCCCCGCAGAGAAATGTCACACACACACACCCCCAAAGCAGTTAGTCCAGGCTGTGCCGCCCACGTGGCCCTGCGGGAAACACAAGGCTTGCGTCGCTTGCATTGCGTTCCAGCAAAAAACCTCCATTCCAATCAGTAACTCCGAGACAGGCACAATCTCAAAAGTACCTTTGTTAGAATAGCACCTGGCACACCTGTGGAATCTCAAAACTAAAAGTTTACCAGACTTCTCACAATGTCCCAAACTACAATCCATCCCTATTTCTCCCATCATCACATGGGCCCGTCACGATCCGTCTCAGTGTAAGATCCTTTTCCCCTGCTGCACCACAACTTAATAACCTTGAACTAAGAAAAGAATTTTTATTTTATGTTAGAACTTCTCAAGGGGAGATGCCTGTCAGCTTTGGAAGCCATATTCCATGCTGCCCCATAGCCTGAGAAAGTGGGAGGGGGGGTGATTTAGGGCCTTCAATTAGTCCCTGATACTGACACATGAGTCTCAAGCCAAACTTCCAAAACTTCAAAAGGATTTATTGGGAGTTCACATGCCGGCACTGCCTGGGTGTAGCTGACTCTGAGAAACATCCATTCCTTGTCTCCCTTGACCCTGGTTTTTCCCCCCCACCCCCTGGGTGTATCATGATTCATATTCTCCAATGGGACACCTCCATAGCCCAGAGTCATCGATCAAGCTCTCCAGCTAGAATTTTGCATGGCAGAAACTCCAGTCACCTAGTTACTATCTTCGAAAACATTAGTGGAATGCACTTTCGATTTCCAAGCGGCTGCACTGCTTCCCCCACCCCTCCCTTCCTGTTGGCCACCCTAAAAGGACCCTGGAAATATTGGATGAGTTGACACCCAGGAAGGTCATAAAAGTCGAGGCTCGCTGGCCAAATAACATTTTCCTCCCTGTCGTAATGGGGAACCGTGGCTAAACCAGATGGTCACTAAACAAGGATTGTCAGCACTTATTACCAAACGTACATTTCAAAGCCAGCGAGACCCGGTGTGCAGGTTGGCCTCCCTGGTTCCTTTCAGCCTTCTGCTTTGATCGAAGAATATTTTTGGGGGGTGGGGGGATCGAAAAATAACCTTGCGTTTCTGTCTTTCTCCGTCTCTGCCTGCCTTTTTGGTCGATAAACCAGGATCTCACCCGGTCGCGAAATACCTGGGCTCTGTGGACAGCCGATACAGCAATATGTTTTTAGACACCTCTTGGCGCGACCTCTTCAGCAAAACCGAACCACCTGCAATAGGTAAGAAGAAGCTCTGAGCTTTTCTTTCCCGAAATCTCGTTTTTTTCATCCCTTTTGCTTCAATCTCGTCCTCACCCGGATTCTTGTTCTGGGGGACATTGGAGTTAAATTCAGCCTAGGAGCCCCCACCCCCCAAAATGATTTGGCTGCCTCCCTCTGTCCTAGTGAGTGGCGTTTTGGGGGACTCCTAAGGCAGGACGTAAGATAATTTAGCCAATTGTAAGAGATGATCAGGCTGAAAGTGTGGGAGGCGTCAAGTGTCTCATTAGTCTCGAATCCTTTCGTGCCCATAAGAGATCAAAGTCCAGCCCGCCTTGACTTCCACTGACTCTTATCTACCATCAATTTACTTTTACCCTGAACAGTTCAGATTCTTGCGGGGAGCTTTAAATTTATATACTGGTAGTCCTTGACATAGAGCAGTTTATTCAGTGACCATTCAAAATTAAGTTTCGGGTTACATCCACACCTGGCCTTGGGGAAGGCAGGGCATGTTGTGTTTCACTTAACAATTGTGGTGATTCGCTTAACAACTGTGGCGTGAAAGCGGGCAAAACTAACAGAATCCCTGCCTTGCTTAGCAACAGAAGGGTCGGGCTCAATTACGGTCATAAGTCGAGAACTTCCTGTCCTCTGGAAACCATTAGGGGAGAGGCTGTCTTCACCCTCTTTCTCTCACACATAATATCCAGGCTGAGTTGCCTCTTCTGAGATTTCCCCCCTCCCCCTCTCCTGGTAAATCCCCTTCCTCACTACCTCCCATCCCATCAGCCTTTGCTGTGACCTGGAAGGGAAATCAAGGCTCCAGGTGTGATGACCCAAAGGGGCGTGGCACAAAGGCAACACAGTCAGATAATCAACAAGAGTCCCTTTATTATCTCCAACTTTGCCCCCAATGTCCTGGTTACCTTCTGGGCTGGAGAAAAACTCTCCCAGGAACAGCTTGTGACTGCAGAGAATCAAGTCCAAAACATGGTCAACAAAAACTGTAACTTAAAGTCCAAACAAGCCAAACTGAAGTAATTAGTCCGGCAGGGCAGGAGCAAGAATTCCAGACGTGAAGGCACGGCAATAACTCAACACGGTTGGGAAGACGCCAGGAACGCAGATAAGCAAAGTCAACACAAGATGAACTCACGTTTGTTCCCAGAAGATGCCGCACTCAGCTTGCATCTCTTTTAAATTCTCATTCCCAGGTGTGGCTAATGAAGGGAATCAGGGCCCTTTCCTTCCCCCGTAAGCCAGGCAACCCACGTTGCTCCCTTCTCCGTTCCTCCCTGCCTGCCCTAGGATGAAGAGGGGGTGGACCTGGGTCTTCCTCTGAACTCCCTCTCCCTTGTTCTACCTCTCCCCTGCTCTGCCCATCCGGACTTTGCCCTCCCCCAGTTTCCTCCACAGCCAACGGAGTCCCACTCCCACCCCTTGGGTCAGCTATTCGTCTTCCTCCTTGGATTCAGACTCCGACAGGGGCATGACACCAGGTTTCCTTTTCAAGCCACCTGACCCATTTGGGGTTGTTGTTTTTTCCTGTCTTCCTCAGAACCCCTGGATGTGGTAGGCCGGATCACCCAGTATGTGAACGGCGCCAACATCACTCACCAGCTGCCTGTGGCAGAGGCCATGCTGACCTGCAAATACAAATTGTAAGTCCCGCCATCGGCCGGGTTCTGGCAAGACGCCGGTTTCAGTAAGGTTGAATACATAGAAACCCAGGCGAGGAAAGGCAGCTGTTTAGGTGCTGGCTGGTAATTCAGATCCATTCTTCCTCCTCCCTTTCTTTCTTCTTTCTTCCCTTCCCTTCTTTCTTTCTTCCCTTCCTCCCTCCCATCGTCCTTTCCCCTTCCCTCTTCCCTCCCTCCCCTCATCCATCCTTCCTTCCTCCCCTCATCTTTCTTCCTTTTTTCTTCCCTCCCTCCCTGCCATCATCCTTCTCTCCCTTCCATCTTCCTTCCTTCCTTCCATCCTCTTTCTTTCCTTCCTTCTCTCCTCCCTCCCTTCTTTCTTCCCTCCCTCCCTCCCTTCATCCTTCCCCCTTCCCTCCCTCCCCTCCTTTCTCTTTCCCTCCATCCATCCATCCTTCCTCTCTCCCTTCATCCTTCCCCCTTCCCTCCCTCGCCTCCTTTCTCTTTCCCTCCATCCATCCTTCCTCTCTCCCTCCTTCCTCCTTTCCCCCCTCCCTCCTTTTCTCCATCTTCTCTCTCCTCCCTCCCTCGCTATTTTCAAGGAGCATAGTAATACAAGTACAAGGGAATATCTAAAAACAGCGGAGATCACCATTCATTCAGTTTAAGGAATAAAATAGCCTTGAATTGCCAACAAAATCTCAGATAACCAAAGACAACCTACAATATCCCATGGGTAGTAGATTCTGGCTGGGTGTAGAGTTGTAATTGCAGGAATGTTCCAATCTCGGACGGCCAACCTCAGGTAAAGAATGTTTCCAAGCAAATACAACTCAGGCAAACAAAAGTCACTAATCTAAAGGAGGATTAGAGAGAGGAAGTAAACCTATGTTAGGCTTGAACTAGAGATAATTAATCGTACGGATTACTGTGCTAAACAGTGACGAAAGTTAAGCGGTAACCAAAGTTAACCAGTGATGGAGGGTAACTAAAAATGTGTATAAATGCAAGACTAGACTCCAATAAACCGAATCATGATTCGGTTGTTCATGATCAAACAACTCGACTGCCTCGTCATTACAACAGCTGGGAAATTCTGGGAGTTGAAGTCTACTTTAGAGTCGCCGAAGTTGGAGAGATAGACTGCTCTGGACTTTGGCTTAGAGAGAACAGATCCTGCATATTTCTATCCTCTCCTTACTCTCTACGTCAACCTGGGCTGCTGCCTTTCTTCCAGCTCTTTCTTGGCAGGCCCGCAACCTGTTGCAGATGCAAACTTTGCTAACGCTCTCTTGTAGCGACGTTAAAACATCAGTTCCTTGTCGAAATAACCCCTTCTTTCTTTCTGTCTGCAGCCAAGATGAGGATTCCTACCAGAAATTCATCCCTTTCATTGGGGTAAGGCAGTCGTAAGATCCTGGGCCCTTCCGAATAAGATTTCAGGTGGCTTCCTGCCCAATATCCAGCTTCCCAGGTGTAAAAGGGGAAGAAAAAAACCAAAACAGCTTTGGGAAGTGAAAGAGACACCTGGGCGTGCTTTTGACTTTGCTAACCCTGCTGGCTGGCTTGCCCGTCAACTCTGGCCAGGCGGACGCTGGGCGGGAAGTTGTGGCTGACACCCAGACGTGCCTCAATTAGCAGACAAGATATAATTTAGCTAATTTTATCTTTGAAGGCCAAGGGCTTGGCAGGAGCCCCGAAGGATCACATCAGCGGCCAATTCTTGACCTGTTGTATCAGAAGATATCGTAAACTGTTATTAACACACACACACACACACACACACAAAGCTTCTTTACACTGTCTGTAAATCCAGGGGGTTAGCAAACGGCTGGGCGGGATTGATCAGCGACCGTAATTGGTTTGCAAGCTTGAAGGGATGGTAATCACGGGAAAAAGATGGATTTGGGTTTGTTTTAACTTACATATTTACACCTCGTCTTTATTATTTTTAGAAATAGTTCAAGGGGCAAAGCTATTCTTCCTTCTCTTTTTCCCCAAAACAACAACCCTGCAAGGTGGGTGGGACGGACGACTGGCCCAAAGTCAGCCAGCCAGTTTCCATGCCTCCAGCAGGACTAGAATTCCCTGTCTCCTGGTGATTGCCACAAAGTCACCCAGATGGCTTCCATGCCTTAGGTAGGACTAGAACTCACCATCACCTGGGGATTGGCCCAAAGGCACCCAGCTGGCTTTCATCCCTTAGGCAGGACTAGAACTCACCATCACC